TTTTTTCAGATTTCTTTTCACAATACAGCTTGTGTTGAACATACTTCTGGAGTGATTACTGAAGCTTGACACTTTATTGGCAGCATCCTTAAGGGTGATGTTATATGCAGAAATTCAGGCTTTTAGAAAGAATGTATAATGATGTTTTTAAGAACTTCAATAGAGAAGCCAATTGATAGCCAAAGTAAAAAAGCAAATACATCTTAGAAAAAAGTTCTCTTGCAATGAAAACACTGGATTGATATTCAGATTAACATACCCTAATTTATTTTGAACGATGGCTAATGATCAAACTTAAATAATGTGTTTAAGATTTATATAAAAGACAAGATGAAATATTTCTAGAAGTGAAACTGGTAAAATGACAGAGACTTATATGCTTGCTTTTGAAGTATATGAACATCATATAGGTAAGATTAAATAAATGTTAGTGCTTCTAAATTAATGTGTCAATACTTTAAGAACCAATCTAAGATCACCTAGGGCACAAATCAAACACAAAAAAATTTTAAAAGTACAATACACAAAAGATTGCTCTGAATTTGTTCCTGCTTTCTTATTTCATAATTTTTATTTATTTTCTTGGAATACAAGGCAGCCTGCTCACATCCACTCTTAGGTTGCCCTGATGATTTTGTAAGATGCCTTCATATTTTTTTAAGCCATTTAATATTTTTGGTCATTCCTGCTAATGTCTTCTGAGCTTTTTCCGGTTTCCTCATACTTATTTTGAATAAGTAATTTGAAAGTCAGTTTCACAGTCAGCTCTTATCCTCTTCCCTGAACAGCTTAGTACTGGGAGCAAGCTTTCCAACCCATGTTTCTACTTTGTCTTTCAGGAACACTCAGGGGAAAAGCAAATGTCATAGCAGTCTTTAGATATCTAGATATTTTAGTAATAGTAGTAAGAAATCTGAAGCTCACAGACTTTTTAACAGATTAAAATATTCACCAAATGAAAATTAGACAAAAAAAAGATAAGAGATTAAAATAATGTTATTAACATAAGGATGTCACAGAAGCTACATATAAGTAAAAAGCTTACATATGAAGTAAATTTTATTCTACAAACATTCTACAAAATTCAAAGTATATAGGAGCATTTGCTACATTCCTGAAGATTCAAAGCAAATCGCCATTTGCCATAATGACTGAGTGTATCACTGTATGGAAGTAAATATAATGTAAAGCATACAAGAAACATAGGGTGCATAGAAAATACAAGATGAATTTGTCATGGAACGTTTTTAATCTCTTATTAGAATAATCTTAAATATTTTACATTTTTTTTAGATCATTCAGGCTTGAGAGCTCCTCTGAAAGTGATTGCAGAATTTTCATTCTTAAACATCCAGTTACAGGACACTGGACTTCATCTGAGGGAAATAGAGGACTCTACAGGTATACAAAATAGATCTAATTTAAATTCATAGAAAAGGGGATTATAAGTAATTAGATTCTCTGTAGAATTCATTTTGCATCTATATGAGAAGAAATTGAGACAGTTTATTGACTAACTCTCAGGGTCACAGTTGGAATCTAAACATCTAACCAAGCCAGTAGGAAAAATCGTTCAGTGTCTGATGCATCATGACATGCCAATAAGTAACTGAGGGAATAATTATAGGAGTGGAGGAAAACTAATTCCTAATTTAGTATGGCCATTATTTTGATCCGTGTGAAAAATGTAACATTTGCATAACAGTCTCAATCATCAAGGAAAAACTTTCCACTTCAATTACTGTTTTGCATGTGTTCCACACATATCTCAGAAAAAGGTGTGATTTAATTTGGTGTGAAGAAATAAAGATAGCACGTGAAAAGGGAAAAAAAGGGGGAAAGGAGGTAGTCCAATCTGAAAATAAATAAGCTACAATATAAAGCAGGTAATGCATCAGAATTTGAAGTTTTAGTTTAAAAATCAGCATGTCAGCAGAGTACAGCTTTGACACAGCTTTCACTGCCTCAAAATGTATTTATCAAATGTTTCAGAAATTGCTCTCTCTGAAGGCCTTGATGCTTTTTATCTGTGTTCTATGCACAGCTTAGCTAAGGCACACATTTCTCAGTGATTTTAATGGAGTTTCAAAATATAAACCAAAGAAGGTTTCACAAGGCAATCTTTAAATTCCACTTAGCATGTAAGTGTTTAAAAGGGCAATTTTCAAACCATTAAGTAGAACTCATGATGTTTGAGATCAACTATAAATCATTTGGTTACAAGATGTATTATTCAAATAACTATAGCTACCTAGCTACTATTATAATGTTAGTTGGGTATATAGAACATTAGCTTTAAAAATTTTGTTCTCCAGATGCAGAATACTAGTGTTTTCTGGTAAGCTTACTCATCTAAATAAGGTGTCTTTCTCAGCTCCTCTCATCTTGAGCTCCATACCCAATCTAAAAGTTAAAATTTCTGTATCAAGAAATATTTCCCCCTGAAGAGGAGAGAACAGAGAACCCAGTATGAGGATTTGAAACACAAATACCTCAAAGCATGGCCTTGTTAGAGATAAAATACACAAAAAAAAAAAAAAAAAAAAAAAACCAACAAAAACAAACAACCAAAAACCACCAGCTAAGCACACAGTAGTTTGATCTGAAAATCAATGATTAGCACTGAACCAGAAATTAAAAATAGTTAAGTAGTCTTTATATAGTCATTATTGACAGTGACTACCTTATCATGTAATAGCATCTTGCAGGCACTCCTTCCCCTCACACTCTGCCCCAGTTCAGCCTAGCCTCTTCTAAAGGATTTTGTGAAAGCCTAAACAAAGCACTCAGAATATTGGTTTTCTGATCTTCTTTGAATTTTTATGGTCTCAGAAGCAGCTCCTTGAAATGAGATCACTTGTGCTCCTAACAAGGAGGACATGTGGCAGTGCCCTTCTGACACCATCAGTAGTGATGGGGTTCACCTTCTCTATCCAGGAGAAGCACTCTTAAGGGGTTTTTCCTACTAGCTTTTTAATATTTTTTGACCTGTAACTGGCAGAACCTTCAGCTTTATTGAAGGCAACCTACTAGTGGCTAGCTTAGAAATGTTTAGTAAAAGAAAGAAATCATATAAAAATAGCTTGACATCTTCTGCCTCCAGTACCACATATACATAGTGGATGTTGGAGGATATTTACAAAAGGTAGAAGATGTTGGAAGATAGTCACAAAAGGCAGCAATGCTTTAACAGCACTGTGCTCTACTACAGCAATGAAGCAGGTGAAATTAACATAGAAGAAATTGAGATTGATAAGGCCCATATAGATGAAATAAGATAAAGAAAAATAACTGTTCCCATCTCATATGTTTAACACTACTGAAGTCAACATAAGATGAGAAAGAAGAAGGAAAATGAAATATTTTACATTACTTTTAGGCATGTAGTTATAGCCCAAACTAGAAAACTGGAGTATCTTGATAAATAACAGCTTTCAGATGGCATCTCAGACAAAGTCCGTCAGATACCCTAACTCTTTGCTAAAGACTGTAATTGACTAACGGAAAAATCTACTTTTTAACTTTTTTAATCCAGCATCTAAATTAGGTGTCTGAAGTTGAACATCATTCAGATACTCCATTGTCCACAACAACAACAACTGTGAAAGAAGCATGGTACATTTAAAACATACAGATAAGCCAACAAAACTTAAGGCAACCTTTGGGTTATGTTTCTACCTGAAGTACTGTCTCATTTCCATAAATCTCTCCTTTTCTAAGATGAAAAAATCTAGCAATGCTATATTTTTTCCCACACATGCTCTGAAATTATTTCTGTTGTATACACCATACTAAAGAACTGAAATTAGCCCCATAAATTTAAAAATTCTGTTGTTTTCTACTGTCATGTCTTCTACCAGATTACTGTATCATTTTTTTTTAAAAGAGATTGCCATTGTTAAGATGGAAGCATTCATGTTTTGTTGTTAATGCACAAACCATTCCCTACTATATATTATATTCCTAGAATCCCATTTTTATCTTCCACTACCTCAGAACACATGCTAAGTACTTAAGACCTATATGTTGTGATGATAGATCAATTTTATACAGTGACCAGAGTTAGTTTTGAACGAAGTTAAACTTTTGCTATTACTTATACATGGATTCCTGTTAGAAGATTTCCACATTCCCAGTTATCCAGTTTAACCTATGGATACCTGTACCTCAGCATTTTTTTATGAACTTGCTGAGTTTATCATGTTTTCAGGAAGCACTAAAAAGACTAATAAAAAAAGACCTTTTTAAAAAAAAATTCCCCTCCCACCAAAGCCATCCACCTTTTTTTAACCAGTGAAAACACACTCAAAATCTGTCAAAGTAGTCATAAATATTCAAAGTCTGCACTGGCACAGTTCCAGAAACCTGCAAGGTGTGCTCATATTATACAAAAAAAGAGCATGTTGCAATTGTTGACACTGGCAGCATAAAATGCTTAGCATAAGGTGTAGCTCTCAGAATTTGGGCTGGAATCTCAGCATTCAAAAGATTAAAAAGTAATTAATCTTGCGTGCTTTGATGAGTACACAGGTAAACCTTTCATTATCCAAATTCAAAGCAAGAAAGACCCATTTAGCCATTAACAAGCTGCTGATCTATCAACTTCAACACCAAATATGAGCACACGTCCTGTAACCTTCCAAAACTCCTCTGAAATCCTAAATTCTATTTTTCCTGCAACAAAGATTAACATCCTTCAGGCTTTGGGATATAAGTGCATTTAGATGAATGAGATCAGCAACCACATTTGTAAGGCAAGCTGCCATAGATTAGTTTCTAAGAGACAACTGGTTTATTCAGGTTAAATGCCTAGAGCATTGAGTATAAACAAAAGGGAAAAAAAATCCATAAGGTATCTCTGGAGTGCAGTACTTACTGTATTAATATTTCAAGTCATGTATTCACTATACACTCAGTGCAGACACTATAGAGATTTAATTGAACAGCTTGAAAACACATACCCGATAGCAATATTCCAGATATTGTTCAGCCATGCTTACCTTTAAAGAAACAATCTTCATTGTGTACAATGGTGATCTTTTGCTTTTTCAGACAGGCAGCTCTGTGCACTTCACAGTGGTTTTCATAGAATTCTCCATCAGACCCACACACAGGTTTGTAATGTGGCTTGCAGTACTCCATGCACAGACACTCGGCTTGGCCAGTCTTCCCATTCACAACACAGTGCCTGCCCAGACCACAGTACTTGTTTTCACATGATCCAAAATGGCCATCGTGACCAAAATACCCTTAGAAAGAGGAAAAAAAAAAAAAACTTTTTATTTAGAATTACATTTTGCTTAATTGCATGCAAGATACAAAAAGGATTGATTTGAGTAAATTAAGTGAGACCATGTCTTTTGTTACATCCTTGACTAATATTAAATATAGGTCAGCCTGATATTAAAAAATTTAGTCTCCTTATCATGACTTTTATACTTTTAATCATTGTCATACAGTAACTGTAATTTAGAACAAGATCTAGTAACAAGAGTTACTCTTCATTAAAAAATTCATAGTAAATCATTATTTTTTCAATGTATATTGAAGTTTGTCACCTTAAGATTGCTATACTGTTGCATACAATAGAACAATGTATTCTTTAGAATTTGGACCATAGGACTGGTCTCAAATTGGAAGGGACCCTTAAGGATTGAATCTAACTCTGTGCTACCTGAATCTAAACCACGTGATTGATAGCATCTTCCAGAAGCTCCACAAACTCTGACAGGCAGACAAAATAGACATTTACACATTGAGACTGATCCATGAGAATGACTAAAGCAGAATCAGGGATCTGAATCAATATGGGGAATTTAAACAAAAAATGACCAAACCTCTGAGGTGGCAATGACATTTCAGGAAACAGAGCATGGAAGAACAGGACTGATATATCAAGTGAATGGTGGCTAGAAGGAGTCACATGAACCTCTAAGTGGTATTTCAATTATGACAAATGTGATTTGGATGGCAAACAGAGCTTTAAGACTGCTGCAGTAGAAACAGAGGAGTTTCTGCTGGCCACAACTTTCAGTTCCTTCTGCTCCTAAAATAAAGAAATGGATTGTCTACATTAGGCTACCAAAGCCATGTGTCTGCTCTCTATCCTATCTGTGCTGCTGCCACCATATAAGATAAGCACTGTTGTCAGTAGCACATCTCTTGGTGAAAGGGGAAGTTCAGTGCACAGTACTATTTCCTAATTATATGCCCAGTTTCCATTTTGACTGCCATAGAACTAACTGGCTTCTTGGCAAGAGTTAGTTTATGATGTGAAAAAGATGTGAACGTGAAAGCAGAATTGTCAACTGCAATTATCAATACATAGGTTTTCTGATAACATAATTGTGCCATAAAATATGTATAAAAACACTAAAATGCCTCCAAATGCCAGAATAGACACTGCCCTTCACAGTTGCTTGATTTTATTCTCTCGCTTTGTACTCCCAATGTCCAGAACAAACACCTGTTATTCCAATTCCTTGCAATACTTTCCTTATCCTCACATCCTAGCTGTATCCATCCTTGGCTAATCCATATAAAAATACATGAAGAAGCAAATCACAATGCATAATTTGGTAGTAATTTGATCATTCTAGATTCATTTTGCATAGCAAAATGCTAACATGTCAATACAATGGCTTGATGCATATTTCTTCAAGCTACTGAGAATTTATGTTCTTCCGCAGCAGACATAAAATCTCACCACTTCTTCTTCTGAAGCCAATGGGTCTATTAGGCAACCACGCTTTGATTTCTTACTTTCTCACATGGCACAAATTTTCCAGACAAATGTACTACAGAAAGCACGCAAGCATGACATTTGGCTCTAATGACATGTTTTCACTATATCACTTGATAACAATTTCAGCACAAAGTTGAGAGGACTACATATTCACCTCAGGTGTTGTATGGCTGATATAACTAAGCCACAGTGATTTTTATACACATGTGAAGACCCAGCTGATGGTGGGTTTACCTACCCATGCACCAAAATGACCTGAAACAGGAAAACCCTATTCAACATTAAATTTTTCCCATAAGTTTTTGAAAGTATTCCTCCTTGTGCCAATGTATCACCACTATATGTGAGCAACAAACATTGACTGACAGAAATTAATGTAATTTCCAATTTCCCTTATTTTCTTGTACTAAACCTAATCTCAAATAAAGATTTGGAGTACCCAAGAGTGCTTTACAGCACAAGTCATATATTCACATTATAGAATGTAAGAACTTCTTTGAAGTGATGGAATTGTTACAGTTTGAGGACAAAGTACATACACCATTATTATTCATGCTTTCTGAACTGAAGATAAAGATCTCAGAACACCATCTGACAACTGCTCTGAATTATTGAGAGGTGTGCGGTGACTCAAAAATGTATTGTGCTGTATGTTATGAAAATAGAACTCATTTAAGATGTCTCTTGGGACTTCATCTTAGCACGATAATTGAATCTGATGCCTGAATGCAAAACACCTTCTTTCAGATAAGGGAGAATAATTTACATTACATATATTGATATTTATAATATTGGTATTTGTGAACATATACCAATTACGTACAGCAATAAACAAGCAACTTTTCTGCCTTAATGAAAAACTGTATTTATCATGAAATATTTTATATATGTCTTCATTTTAAACCATTAACTACTCCAAAACAATACATAAATTTGCATACATCACTGCATATGCAACTCCTTCAACTGAAGTCTGTGGTAAAATTCCCACTGACCTCAAGAGAAGCAGGACTCTTTCTCCAGATACAATTTAAAGCCTTCAGCCAGCATTATGTTGTAGCCACAAGTTTTATCATGTTTAACAGACACTGTTCTGCACTGAGAAGGGGCAGCTATGTGGTGTTTACAGCACATATTTAAAGAAAAAACAGAAGTGTACATCACTCACAGCAAAAAAATTAATTAAATCCATGCAATTCCAAAACAGGTGACAAAATGCTCACAACAATAAATTTCAACTAAATACGCACCCAATTATGAAAATGTAAACAAATCAATCAATCTAAAGAGGTACTGAGAAATACCAAGAAATAGATTTAGATATAAGTTTAAAAACCCAAATTAACAACCAAAAACCAGCTTAAGTAAAATCAATTTCTGCTGCTTTTTATTGTTCAAGTCCAAGTTGCAAAAAATCACTATATTTGGCAATTCCTGAATTTTATTTTTTGTTTCCAGAACAGGCACTTCCATAATTTTAATCTTGGAATAGAAGTGCTGCTAAGCTACAGGTAAAATAAACCACATTTTAAACCAATATGGGATGTGACATGCAGCCCATCCATGAATGGCTGACTATTTCAGTCACCATCAGGAAATTGATGCTATTACATTATTATTGGAGGTATACTTTTGATACCTTAATAATGGGTCAGGTTTTTTCCAGTTTGTTGGGATTTTTTTAGGGGATTTTTTTGGTTGTTTGGTTGGGTTTCTTGAATGTCAGTGTAGCTAAGTCTCCTGGGATAAAACTGCTTAGGGTGCAGCACCCATTCAGGACACCATCATCATCACAAACACAGTGTTTCAGAAGGCTCTTGTTCTATCTAAGCACACATTTTAGAAAGCAAATCAGCCTGAGAAAAACTTAGGATGCCATATTTAGACATAATTCAGTAATTTAGTTGAGAAGGTAAGCAGCACAACATATTCAATATTAAGAGACTGAAAGCCAGTAATTTGAGATGACAAATGCAAATATTTTTGCCATGAATGCAAATATTTTTCCAGCAATTGTTATTGCTTATGTGATGATAGGCAAGTCTAAATTTGTCAAATGCCACAACACAAAAACAGGGAAGCATGTACCCATATGAGTCACGTACTCTGAATTTTCAGCTAAAAAATTAGTATAATTTACACATTTTGAGACGGTCTAAGTACTACAGGAAACAAAATGTACTTTGTTCCATCTGAAAATAAGTCAAGAAACATTCAAATTATCACAGCCTTAAGTTAAAAAAAACCAACTCACTTTAAGAACTATCACTAAAAATGTATTACACCCAAAACAGCCAAAGCAGTCACATTGATTTTTCAGATCCTCTTGAAATTTAAAACTCCAAAGAGATACCAAACTGAAGGGCAGAAGTTTTTATTTTCAGACAGTAGAAAAAGTAAAATGGTTTTAACTTTAAAAAGAAAAAACAAAAAAACAGTTTCAAGTTTTCAGCTGGGATTCCCCATACAGGTTGCCTATTGAAAGGATACCTCAACAGCATCCACAACTGAGCAAGCTGTAGGTCACAGCTTGATTAATTTACATCTGGGAATTAAGCTGATGTTTTAGCATGCAAAAGACTTGCAGAAATACACAGAGATACTTTATCCTTTTATCTAATCAGTTTAGAGAAACATTGCACAGTGTAACTTTGGAAACTCATGAGAGTGTGAACCACCATGTTCTACAGCTGGCCCGGGGCTGGAACACACACACTTTCTATGTGCTTTCTATGTGCTGAGCACACTCTCACAAACTCAGACTGTTTTCTTACTTCCCTAACAACATAATTTACATCCATGGCTTCTACCCCTAACTTGCTGCATCACCCACATGTCAGGGAAAACAAAGCGGTAGCTACTTTTCAAGACAATACACTGACATTTTGTGGGCAAATAACTGATGGTAATTTCTGGGGTCAAAAGACCTGTGGTCCCATTCCCCTCTCTTCTATTTAAAAACATTCTTTAAATTACAATTCCACCTCTACAGCTGTTATCTTTGCTTAATACACTATCTATGAAAGGCCCAACCAAGACTGTAATCCTTATTTTAGTAAGTGTTCAGTGTAGTCTCAGGTTTTAGTGGCAAATAAGATTTATCACCACCTACCATTAAGACTTGTAGGGCATTAACACTAAGCAAGACCCCAGTACGACCTGTGAGAATCTGTTCATAAATATTAAAGCTCTAGACTTTTTCTATTTTTGAACTGTAGCATTTTAGCAACAGTTCTTTAACAATTTTTTATTTCACTGCACTACTCATTATCCAGGACTCTTGGTATATTAAATTCTTCAGAAATTTAGACTTTTTTATTTTGCTTAGGAATATTTTGGGCAGAGGACAAAATTTAAAGAAAAGAGTGGATTATTTGAGAGTAAATTTAAAAAAAAAAAATTAAAATTTGCCAATATCATGATTATAGTAATGAATTTCCACCACATAACGCGTATCTTAACAAACTTAAGAGAACTAGTGGCTCAAAGATGGGAGGGTGGGAA